GGATGAAATTAGTATGGTTGGACTCGAAATTGAATGGGTGGTCAGATTTTATGAATTTTGTCGGTTTTCAAAGTACGGGCCTGGGGTTGACTTTTGAGTTGACTTTTTAATTTTCATTAACGATCGAAGCTTTATTATTCAGAATTGTTTCTTATGATTTTTATTTATGATATTAAGTTATTTTGGCTAGATTTGAGCCATCCGTAGGTTGTTTCACATGAGCAGGTCAATTTGGAGTATCGGTCTAGCTTCTTTGAGGTAATTATGTTGTCTAACTTCGTGGGGGGGACTACCCCTTAGGATTTGAGTCATTTGTTCTTATTATGTCATGTGAAGTTCGTGTACGCGAGGTGACGAGTACATACTCAGGCTTATTTGTAGAAATTTGACCGTTTAGGTTTCTTAGGTTTTTATGTCCACTAAAAAGGAAGTTGTCTTATCATGTTAAATCCTAGATTTACTAAATTTACCCTTACGTGTCTTATTTGGAGTTGATTGATTCATGTTCTACCCTTGTTGCCAATAAACTCTTATGTGCCTTAATTGAAGTTGCCGCCTCTTTTATTGCCATGCTGTCTTTTCCGCAATTACTTACCTTTAATTGAAGTTATCATTATCTTTTTCGTAATTGCTAAACCTTAATTGAAGTTATCATTAAGTTTTCCGTAATGGCTAAACCTTACTTGAAGTTATTATTATCTCTCACGTAATCGCTTAACCTTAATTTAGGTTTTGTTATCCCTTTCGTTGTTGACTTATCCTTATTTGGAATCATTGACTTAGGCTATCTCTCTTATTGTTGAGTTGTACTTACGTGGAATCGTTGTGATACATTATCTCTTTCCTTGTTGAGCTATTCTTGTTGAAACCATTATTCCCTGTTGTGTCTTTCATTGTGAGCTCATTCTTCCATTTCTTTGTGTTCTGTAGTTCTTGTGTTGATTTACTTGTCGTACTCTCGTGTTATTGTTGTTGTTGTATTCAGTGTTATTAAGTCGAGGGCGATGCGTGGTTGTGGTATTGAAATTATTTTGAGGAAAAGTTGTGGAATATGGGCACATTCGGTGAAAGACCTTATATTGAGTTGTTATGTTTTGGCACACTTGGTATTGTTGAAAGGATTGCCGGGGTGTTCGCACGTGAGTTATCCGTGCTTTTTTTACTATTGATATTTGCACATGCAGAATGACAAGACGGGCTATATATATATGGGTTTGCGCATGTAACGAGACAAGGTGGAAATATTATTATGCACGTACGGCGAGACAGGCGGGCATTTACTTTATTATTGCGTACGTGGCGAGACAAGGTGGGCTATGTCGGGGATGATTTGTGATGACTTGTGATGACCTGGGGCATTGTTATTGATAATATTTGTCTAGTGGTGTGCCTACCTTGTGTGAGTTATGCATTTTACGTTTTGTTGTGTTGTTTCGTATGTGTCATTCGTTGTCTCTACTCTTACGTGTTGACTCGAGTTGTGATAGAACACTTGCACAAGTATACACGTAATTAATCACCCATATTGGTTTGAGAAGATGAATCCTGATGTCTATTGATCATTTACATTTATTTTAGTGTACTTTTCTTCTGTGTGAGAGCTGTACTATTGCCACGTGAAGTGTCCGTGAAGATATAAGGTATCAATGGTTTTGGCATGTGAGTTGTCCGTGCGGTTCAAATTTATAATGTGGGCACAAGATGCCAAGTGATTTAGATTTGTGATGTGGGACCCGTGATTTGTGATTTTAAGGTTTGGAACCTCGAGAAAATTCTTGAATCAATCTTGTGTAAAAGCAGTTGTTCTTAATGAGTTGTTACTTGCTTTCATTTAATTGGTTTCAACTGACTTAAACTGTGTTCAGCTTACTCTACGGCGTATTATCTGTTTGTTCCCTTTTGCTAATTGTTGTCTCTAGTTTCCTATTGTGAGTATTGTTTTGTTATTTCTACCATGCTTAGCTTTATAATGACATTGCTCCCTGTTAGTTTCACATTCATACTTGTACAAGTTATTAAGTCCAGTAGGTGTCTTAACTGTCCCTCGTCACTACTCAACCGAGGTTAGTCTTGATACTTACTGGGTACCGTCGTGGTGTACTCATGCTACGCTTTCTGCATATTTTGTTATAGATCCAAGTACTGGGAGTTTGTTGGTCATTAGCTAGCTGATCGAGCATTGTTGTGGAGACTCCAGGTATACCTGTTTTCGCGTTCGCAAGCCTCAAAGTCACCTTCTGAAATTTTACTTTCTACTATTTATTTCTTTTCCGGAACAATTGTATTTAGATATTTTCTAGTAAATTCAGTAGAGTTTATGATTTGTACTACCAGTTTTGGGATTTGTTGGCTTTGTATAAAAAAAATTTGTTTCATATTTAATAGTTGTTGGTTGAGTTTGCCATTAATTCAGTAAGTGTTAGGCTTACCTAGTCCCTATGACTAGGTGCCATCACGATATCCTATGGAGAAAAATTGTGGTCATGACAAAACTATGCCAAGAATGTTTTAAGTGCAAAACCCTCCTGAAACACTTCCAAGTCCCTTAGGTCCTAACTTGAACCATGTCAACAAGTCCCAAAATGTAATATCAACCTATCCAAGGCCTCAAACAATAAAATAAGATGCAAAATGTAACGATATGACCGTTTGTTTTGAGTATTTGAACCCCAATCTCCTATTTTATGCTTTACATATGTGTAATTTATGCTTTATTACTTGAAGGTTATAACGACCAGGCTGGATGTTTGAGCGTTTAAGACACGTTTCCCAATTTGATGCTTCTCGTATGCTTTATTATTGTTTTTTGACTTGCGAGGATGATTGGTTTGGTTATGGAAAGGTTTTGGAGTGAATTGGAACACTTAGTTCCATTGGTGGAAGTTTAAGTTGTAAGAGGTAACCAAGGTTTGACTTTTATGTAAAGTTTAGATTCTTGTTTTAATGGTTTCAATAGGTTTATGGTTATTTTGTACTTAGGCATATGTTCAGATATGGATTTGGAGGTTCCTAGGATGATTTGGCTCTATTTGCCAAAAGTTGACAATTTGAAGGTTTGAAAAGTTTACATGTTTGATAGGGAGTTGACTTTGATGCTATCAGGTTTGGACATTTATTTCGGAACTTGGAATAGTTCTGTTTTACCATTTGGAACTTGTGCGCAAAGTTTGGTTACGTTATGAGTTGGTTAGGCATAAATTTGTTTGGTTGTGAATTCTTGAAGTTCTTGAACTTAAAGGCATGCATCATGTGTTTTGGTGTTCGATTCTTGGTTATCGATATTGTTTTGATGTTTTAAGCTTTTGAGCTAGTTCTTATGTTGTTTATATACTTGTGTGGATGTTTGGTATGGGGTCCGAGGGGCTCGAGTGAGTTTCTGATTGAATTTGAAAGTTGGGAATTTTGCTGGTGCTGCAGAAATCACTTTTGCGATGTTCTGCTCGCATTTACGAGGTCCGTATTTACGCACTGCTGATTGCATTTGCGATGTGTGACTGTGAAGGCCAGCTTCACATTTGCGAAGCTAGTGTCACAACTGCGACATCTTTACGAAGGGCGCTTCGCATTTTGCAACGAATGATCGCATTTGCGAGGTTCCAGGTCGCATTTGCAAGGTCTGTTCCTCAGCGGCCAAGTTCGCATTCTCTACAATCCAGAAATGGCTCTTATAAAACCAGCTACAGATGTCGCATTTGTAGCTCAAAACTAGGTAGGAATTACTTATTCCAATCAGCCACTTAAAAATCTCTCCAAGAATCGCCTCCCACCGAGCTCCCAAATAAATTTTTGTGTTATGAACTCAAACCCTCATTTTTGGAATATTTAAATCTGCCGAGTGATCTTCTTCTTCGCGAACACGGTCCTCCTCTCGCGTTTGTGTAGCACAAACCCATCTGCTGCCCCAAAATCTTCTTCATGAACGCGAGGCTCCACTCGCGAATGCGGTGCCTATCTGACCCCTAGCTTCGAGAACGCGGCCCCTATTTCGCGAACGCGAAAACCAAATGCGTGGGGTCCCAGCTGCCTCTTCTTCCTCTTCGCGAACACGGCCCCCTTCATGCGTTCGCAATGCACCACCTACCCAGTCATTCGTGAACGCAGCTCCCTCTTCGCGAATGCGAAGAACAATTCTTCACTACCACCAGCTAGCCTTCGCGAACGCGGGATTCCGCCGCGAACGCAAAGAAGGAAACCAAAACTAGCACCCAAAATTCTTTAGCAGTCTACTAAGTCCAAAATCGATCCGTTAACTATCCGGAAACCGCCCGAGGCCCCTGAAACATCGACCAAACATACCAACCAGTCCTAAAATATCATACGACCTTAGTCGAATCTTTAAATCACATCAAACAACGCTAACAACATGAATTGTGTATCGATTCAATCCTAATGAACTTTAAAACTTCGAACTTCTACATCTGATGCCGAAACCTATCAAATCAAGTCCGATTTAACTCAGATTTTGCATATAAGTCATAATTGACATTACGGACTTACTCCAACTTCCGAAATCAGAATCCGACCCCGATATCAAAACGTCTACCCCCGGTCAAACTTTTCAAAATTCATCCAATTTTCCAACTTTCGCCAACTGACGCTAAAATGACCTACGAACGTCCAATTCAACATCCGAATACGCTCCTAAGACCAAAATCACCCTACGGAGCTATTGAAACCGTCGAAATTCTATTCCGGAGTTGTCTTCATACAATTCGAACTACGGTCAATTCCTAGACTTAAACTCCCAATTTAGGGACTATGTGTCCCATTTCACTCCAAAACTAAAAACAAATCCCCCGGCAAGTTATGTAACCACAAAATGAAATTGAGGGAGCAATAAATAGCGGTTCGGGGCTAATACTCTCAAAACGACCAGCTGGGTCGTTACATGCTCGGTGACGACTGATTTCTTCCCGGATATCGTTGGAATGACGCACAACCATAATTATCTCATCAATGCTCTAATACCATGTGAGAAAGTACGGGAGAAAAATATATATTATTAATATTCTATGTTACAATGAACCCTATTTATATGTATACATAACACATAACCTACTCCTATTACATATGACTAGAACTAATTACTTATATTCACATAACTATTCTATCAGTACACGCAAGTAGTGATATATTCACCAAGGTTTTTTTTTCTTTTTGCATATACATCCGCAACTTCCTCTTCTATTGATAGTGAGAACCTTCTGTAAAAAAAACAACTTAATTTAGAGATTCAAAAGAGAAGCAGAATTATATTAGTACTATAAAAGATAAAAAATAAAGTTGCGGAAGATCTATCAAAAATAGTTTAATAGAAATAAATAGAGTTGAAGAATGTACTTCATAGTTCATACACTACATGAATTGTTTTTTCACTATTTTATTCAAAAGAACTTCGTAAAGTACAACCTTTTGGTTTAAACCACAACTGAAATCAAATATTTCTCGACGTACTTCAACTAGTCTACTTAGAAGACACAAAAAACAAAAACCATGGTGCAACTTGAGATCACTGTTAGTAGTAAATGCATTCCGGACACAAAAGAAGATACTACAACAGAATGATAAAGAAAGTTCCATAAATGATAAAGCAGTAAAGGTGTCCTGAAAATATTGTTTGTTGCTTGCTGATGATGCTTGAAGTACGGAAATCAACAAGTGAAGGTTGCAGCAAGTTTTAACAACAGAAGGAAAAATTTTGCAAAAAGAAAATTCAGAGTGAAGGATTTGTAGATGAATAAGCAGCAAAATATACAGTAATGAAATTGACATCAAAATCTCAAATGATTTTGAGATGTAATACTATTATTTATTAATGTAACAAAACTCATCTTAAGCTCTTCACCTTGCTTGATCTCAGAAGCACTTAGATGATCCTGCAGATTTTGGCATGCTTCCTCAATTTTGTGTAGTCCACTGTCTTATAGATTTAAGTGAACCATCTAATAATAAGTAGAGAAACATGTTATTTACTATAAAATTGAAAAAGTGAAGCATCTAGTGTATCAACGGCTTGCAGCAAGGTTTTAGAAGAAGGAAAGTTTCAAAAAGATAAAATAAAATGAAGGATTCCTAGATGAATAAACATTAAACATAATTGTAATGACACAAAATTATCAAAAAAAATAAATTAAAGTGTATTAATAATCAATGTAACATAAAACCATCTTAAGCTTTTCACCTTGCTTAATCTCAGAAGTATTTAGATCATCTTTCGGTCTTTGGCTAGCTTCCTCAATTTTTGTTATCAGGCCTAAAAGTCAACCTTCGAAAATGTGAAATCATACTAGTTGGCAAGGTGGGGAATATCGAGGCTCTAGCACTACTATAGAGTTGTAAAGATGGGGCTTTTCATACCGAGGACGAAACGTGTCACCACCTAATTTTTACCGTAGATCGTGATGTCGCCTAACGTCGACATTAAGCAAGGCAGCGATTAACTATTCATTTAATTATTTATTTTAATATTTTTTAAGTCATAAATTTTTGTTTAATAAAGAAACTAAGAGTAAATGACTATAGTGATATAAAGAATAAAATAAACATAAGAGTGAAGTAGTGAAATTAATAGGCAAAAATCATGAATATCTACTAGCATTTCTTGAAACCCGGTATCACAAGTGCACGAGTAAACTAGTAGAATATAAAAAACTTGCTACCGCAATTAGTCCAATTTCTTGTAGTAGATAGAAAAGTAAATACAACAAGGACGAGACTCTGGGTGCTGCAGAACGGAGCATAGGAAGCAACTCACCACTAGATCTTCCGGTAGCGGGGATACGTGCCTGACTGGCCACCAGATGTACATGCCTCAGATCTCGCACGATTAGTGCAGAGTGTAGTGTGAGTACGTAAACAATGTGTACCCCATAAATATCTAGTCTTACCTCGAAGAAGTAGTGACGAGAGGGTCTGTAATGACCCAACCGGTCATTTTAACTTTTAGAAACTCGTTCCCTAAAATAAAACTCCCCGAGCACGCTTTTATTAATTTATGACTTGCGGGGATGGTTGGTTCGGAATTTGGAAGTGTGTAGGTTGAAATCGGAACACTTGGTTCCTTGAGTTAACCTTAAAAGGCCAAGTTTGACTTCGCTCAACATTTTGAGAAAATGACTCCGGAATCGGGATTTGACGGTTTCAATAGGTTTGTATGATGATTTTGGACTTGGGGTATGTTCGAATCGGGTTTTGGATAACCCGGGAGCGTTTCGGCGGTTAATAGTGAAAATCAACTATTTGAAGGTTTAAAGTTCTTTAAATTTGGTTTGGAGTAGATTTTTGAGGAATTGAAGTCTGTTTGGAATTCCGAGTTTGGAAATAGTTCCGTATACTGATTTAAGACTTGCACGCAAAATTTCATGTCATTCCGGGTAGTTTAAGTACGTTTCGGCGTATTGGAAGTAAATTGAAGAACTTGAAGTTCTTAAGTTTGATTCAATTTGGTTTGGGGTGTGATTCCTAGATTTGATGTTGTTTTACACGTTCTGAGAATTCGAGCGAGTCCGTTTTATGATTTCAAACCTGTTGGTATGTTCGGACGGGGCCCCAGAGGTCCCCGAGTGTTAACTGGACGAGGCTCGGATCAATGTTGGAATTTTGAAGAGGAGCTGAAGCATTCTGCTTTTAGTACGTTCGCACCTGCGCTTGGACAGTCGCAGGTGCGACTCTCGCAGATGCAAGGTTTTATGTGCAGAAGTGAAAAGGGGAAGGAAAGCCTGCCATCGCAGGTACGGAATCTCGGGCACACCTGCGAACGCGCAGGTGCGAGAAAAATGGCGCAGATGCGGAAACTGGATAGCCAAGCTAAGCTCGCACCTGCGAGGCTTTTCCGCAGGTGCGAACACCTTCCGCAGGTGCGAAAAACCTGTCTGGGCAGAATGGTTAAAAAGTCAGGGCTCAGACATTTTGAGCCCATTTTTCCTCAATTTCCGGGCGATTTAAGAGCTTTTGAGAAGGGGGTTTCAGCTAGCAATTGAAAGGTAAGTTAATTCCACACTCTTTGAGTTAAATACATAGATTATAGGTAGATTATAACTAGTAAATCTTAAAAATCAAGAGTTTAGGTAAAAAAACTAGATTTTTATAAAAATGAGATTTTAACTACAAAAATGGTTATGGAATTGGATAGAAATTATAAATTTGAGTTCTTGAGATTATGGGTAACGTTGTTATCCAAAAATTTTCGTAATCCGAGCACGTGGGCCCGGGGTAAATTTTAAGAATTTTACCATTTTGGATAGAGTAATTTAATTAATAGATGAATTTCGAATTATTGAACATATATTAATTATTTTATATAACTTTTAGATAGTTTCAGATTTTTCGGCATTGAATCGAAAAATTTACGCGACGCGATAATCGGAAAGTGGACTTTGAGACGAGGCAAGTCTCTTGTCTAATCTTGTGAGGGGAAAATTACCCCATAAGGATTAAATTGAATAATTAT